GGCGCGTGTATCATTGAGATACGCCCTTGTTTTATTTTTGAGCTCCGCTGATCTAAGTTTACGTCAACGCAAATTAGAAGATAAGTGTCGAATATCATGCAATATTTGAATGAAACTTAAACTGCCTTTTACTGGAATCGACTAACGTCATATAAATATATTCTTTGTATTTACCTGCTATTAATGGCAACGCTTTGATGTCTTGAACTGAATGAATGAAGTAGTGGGTGACGGATAGATTTGATGTTTTTTGTAAGAAAATCTTTCCTACAACAAAAGGATTAAAAACAATCACTCAATTATTACAAATTTAGCCATTTGTCTTAGGAGAAAAATAAAAGTTTGTGTATTTACGTAAAATCAGGTTGCCGCTCTGTCCATGATTGGTAGATTAAAGCCGTTAACATTAACCAAACCATAGAACCCATTTTAAAACAACTAGAACATAATAGAATATAGTCATGGTTAAATCTACATGTGTTAAATCAGCACGTAAAGCACACAACCTGATATTGTGAAACAGTTCTAAACATCTATGGAATATTATAATATACTAGCTGCCCTGCCAAACTTCGTTCCAACTTTGCTGTCCTGAATATTTTCGAGATTACTGCACAATTACTCATAATTACTCACAAACTCACAATTTCCATTTCAAAATTGACAAATTCATTTTTATAATTATTGTCACAAAATTACTTCCTATCCGTTAATTATTTATTTTAGGCGTTTTTTTACTTTTGAGAAAAACTGGAACTGTAATATTTCCAAGTAACCTAAACACAAACCAAAAATTACATCAAAATCGGTTCAGCCGTTTAGGATGAGTTTAGTCACATACCCATCGCTTTTCCACATGACTATACCAACTAATTTCACAGCAAAAGCGCGAAATATAAATTTTAGATTTAATTGTTTTAAATATATACTCCATTATATTGTTAAGGAGTAATGTAATTTCACTCAACAGTATATTTACACCCTCTTGTGTGTAAGGATATCAGGAAACATAGTTTGATACTATTTTGAACCCCTCCGGGTGAAAATGTAACGTAACAATTTAACGTTGTGTAAAGTGCTCGTTTCTGGCGCAGATTTGCGTTCGACGCTGCCTCACAACAAGGGTCCTCTTAACTTTTATTTCAACATACAAACAGGGCCTACAAAGCAACTGTTTTATAAGCAGTTAACAACATATTGTTGATTGTTTGAATACAATCACCGCGCCAGGAGTGAAATGATGACATGGAATGGATTTTGATGTTTTTGATGTACTAAAGACTTCCTTTAATCAATATGTCTGCAGCAAAAATATTTCGTGAACAATGTTTTTCAACATGTAATAATTCCTCCACAAAAGCACAGAGCTTTTTATGCTAAACAATCTTCGATCACTGTGCCTTGATTAGTTAAATAAAACTAAAATTTAAGGAGGTTTGGAGGTGTTTATAATTGAAATTATATTTGAGTTTTCTCTTAAGTGACCCCCATTATCCACTTTTACCCTAAAAGAAGTTGCGTACGAATATAAACTGTTGTTATTGTTGTTAATTGTTACCCCGATGAACAACATGGGTTCTTTTTAGAAATTATATAACAGTTTGTAAGTTCTACATTAAATGTGACTTATAAATCATATTTCTAATATTATGCTTTATTGATAATTACAATTATTCGTATAGGTATTTTAAATTACTTTCCAAAAATAACATTTAAAAAATGGATGATAAGTATTACTAGATTTCAGTTTTTTCTACTTAGCAGAAATTAATACAGCTGTCATTGCTTTTTTCTTGATAATAATACACATGATCAAAAACGTAATTTAAGTTTCTACTTACTTTTTGTATCTTTGATGTTTGCGAGACGAAAAAGAGTAGCAAAACACGCACTTTATTATAATTATATGATGCTTATTTATTTTGACACCTTTCACGTTCCTGTTGTTGACTACTACTCGACCGAAGTGTGTTCCGTTGGAATACCGTAGTTCAACTGAGTAGTCTCTATCGCTGCACCGTTGCATCTGTCCATTATGTCCTAGCAACAGCGCTCGCGCCGTCTAGAAAATATACGCAAATATCAGTGCAAATTGTTACTAACTTTTAATGTTACATTATACGACAACATTTGTTCAGAGACTCTGAATAAAATAACAATAAGAAATCGTTTCAATTCAAGAGTCCTGACAAAATAAACAAAATCTTGTTCTCATTGATTTGATCTGTTTGAATTGATTATTAAAAAATACTTGTCTATACTATAAACGCTTCAAACTTTAAGTATGTTTTGAATGTCTTCAAAGCGCATAGCACCTTCTGTCATGCTGTTTAATGTTGTTAGAGATGACTAACACATAAATTACAAGCTAGGTGGCCAAAACATCGAAAATTTGAAACAACTGTAGAAATACTTGTACAAATTAAAACACGAAAGTGCTTATCAATAATCAAGAAAAACAATATTGAAGGTTAGGAAAGAATGAGTATGTTGTAAAATACAGTGCATCGGATGTATTTGTCGAGAGGAAGACGACTAAGATGAACTCCGCCAGCCGATTTAAATCACATTACGGTTATAAATATAGGTATAAGGATACAGAATAGTGAAAAGTGTGTCAGTTGACATCAATAATTTAGATTGAATATTTATTGGCTTTAAGATCAAATCAAGTTACGGTAAGCGACTGTCAATGATAATAATCTTACGGCAAACCATATATAACAAATTCAAATAATGTTAAAATTTAAAACTTTAACTTTTTTGTTAATAAAGATTTCGTATTCAACAAGACTTCTCTCACTCCCTACTCAGTTTTCGGCCTTTATTATGATACATGTATCAAGTGTAGTTGTAATGTTTACAATTACAGTGGAATCCCGGTAATGCCGGATTATAACTTATACGTTATAACTTGTAATAAGTACGTATTTCCTAATGTGCATATTTTTTATAAGTTTTATAGCATTAATGGCGTAAATTTTATAATTTGTAAAACGGAATTTTTCTATTGTGTTGTTTAATTCGGTAAATTTTAATTCAATAAATCTTATCATTGAGTTTGTTATTTGCCGGATTACCAGGTACCTACTCTTTTGTAAAAGTTTCGGATTGTAAAGCGTCTTAGGCAACACTCTATAATCCGACAAATTCGTTGATCCTACAATGCCCAGCAAAGTGTTTGTCCGATTACCGGGATTCCACTGAATCATTATGCTATCTCAGAGCAACTCTCCTATTAACTATTATTACTATTATTATTATTATTATTATTATTACGTACTGACACACTTATAATAAGTAAGTTACTTTTTGTTAACACTAAAATTTATCTAGAAATCTTCTATGCTATAAAAATGAATCGCAAAAAGTGTTGGTAACCGCTTTTCTCAACAACGCCTGGACCAATTTGGCCAATTCTTATTTTAAAATGTTTGTTAAAGTCAAAGGGTGGTTTTGACGAAAAGAAAAATTCGAATAATTACCGGGAAAATGAGGAAAAGCTGAGTTTTCTTCTTCCAACTGATAAACGCAACGAATGCCGATGATTCATTGTTTTATGTGGTGTTTTGCTCAAAGGGTTTTCTACTGAGTTTTCTTTTGTCATCTGATAAACAAAACAAATTCCGTAGCTTTCTTCGGTTTATTTTTATTTGATTGTTTCATTTCGTTTTTTGTCAAAAGTGTTTAATTACCTATGGTCATTAATTATTGCATGTGATACAAGTTCGTGGAAACGTAGATACTCACTGGGGTGTTGGTTCAATTGAAACGAATTTTTTGCACCGACTATAAAATACCTATTTTTTACCCGGCGCATATAATAACAAATATCAGTTTCAATTTCATTGTAGTGCTTTGTGATATACGTTTTTTTTTTTTTTGCTTTTTGCTTGCTTTGCCTACCTGGCGCATAGACAATCCAATTTGATGCTATTCCAACACAGGAACAGGCTACATACAATTGACCATGTGAAAAACATGGGTTTCTAGTTTTATACCACAAACACTTAATGATTGCCCCTGGGATTTGTTTATGGTCATAGCAAAAGCAGGTCGCACTGGAAACTGATGCTGGGAAAAGCGGTTACCAACACTTTTTGCGATTCACTTTTGTATAGATATGTCGAGGGCTTCCGATGTATGTTGCTGGAAGAATAGTAATCCGACCAACATTCTGGACATTTCCATCAGTATTAATCACATCTCGAAGCTGAATATACCCTTCAAATCGGAGTTTGTTCTGATTCAACCTGATGAATGTTAATCTCTTCGTTTCAATTTTTACGTACATGTCAACAACATATTTGTGATATAATCGCCGACATTTCAATATGTGATTTTCTTCATTTTCGCGAATCATTAGGCGGCATGAATAATTCATTTGAACAGTTCATTGAACTAACTTTTTTCTTGGTTTCCAAACCTGTAAATTGATTTTTGTTTTAAGAACAATAAAATATAAAATTAAAATTCATAATATAGTGACGGAGATATTATCTCCACAGCTAACTAAATCAATATTTCAATTACCTGTAATAGGATCTATCATCTTGATTGAGAAATCATAGCCATCTTCACCATGCCAAAATATAATAGGATATTGCAGTGCTTCATATGAGCGGTGTGTTTCCTTTATACGTCGTAATTGATCATTCCGACGATGTAAATCAATATCACCGAATTCCAAGTTTTCTCCAACTACAACGATGGCAACTTCATCAATAGTTGGTGCATTGAAACGTCTTCCTTGTGGCCCCGCAGGTGTTTTATCAGCTCTGATTACAATTCTGTGATTATCAGATGGCATCAGATCTAGTGCAGTTTTAAACAAAATAATCAATTGATTGCGTTCATGAAATAAAGTTTGTAATTGTTCTACAATTGACCTCTTTACTGAATTGTTATGTGAGTAACGCAGATCAATTTCTTCGGATGAATTGCCTATGAAATAAATTTGCAGGAATTTATAGTTACGAGTATAACACTCCGACGTGTTATCGAAACGTTTGTCGGATTTGCCCCGAACAACTCGGTAGAAAACGCCATTTGTTTTGTGTTGAAAAAAAAACTCAGCTTTTCCCCATTTTCCCGGCAATTATTCAAAATTTTCTCACCGTAAAAACCACCCTTTGACTTTAACGAACATTAAAAAAACAAAGATTTGGCCAAAATGGTTAAGGCGTTGTTGAGTAAAGCGGTTAACAACACAATTTGCGATTCATTTTTATATTATAGACTAGCGACACTACAGAAAAGCTGTGAACGTTGTATATAAAAACATAGCGGCCCGCTACGGCTTCGCACGGGTTTAAAATATATAGGGGCCCGTGGCCCGCACGCGTTAAATTTGGAGTAAAACTATCCACCTTTCCCTATACCATGAAGATTTCCTGCTGTCTTTGGAATATCTTCGCTGCTAAATTCAAAGTGCTACAGGGAAAACCGCGGCCTCAGACGCGCTATTTATAGGCACGCTCTTGCCGCACCGGGCGGCCGGCCGGCACCGCCGAAAACGCTACGTCCGCAATTTTAAAAAAATCCGTTGTGCAGTTTCAAAGATTTAAGCATACAAAGGGACAGACAGGGAAAGCGACTTTCCTTCTCCAAACAAAAACATCTACCGGTCAACTTCAACCCACACGTACACACATACACACGTCTATGCTTGGAGGGGGAAGCTACGAAACATCGCACAAAGAGCAGACGGGAATAATCGAAAACTTTGTATTTACGATATCACATTAGAAACCTCAAAAATAACAGTACTTCTCCACTATTTAATGGATGTTATTATACATACAAACCTTCTTCTTGAATTACTCTATCTATTAAAAAAAACCGCATCAAAATCCGTTGCGTAGTTTCAAAGATTTAAGCTCACAAAGGGACCGGAAAAAAAGCGACTTTACTTTATACTATGTAGTGATTACTAATTCATCTATATCCTATCTTAATATATATAAATCTCGTGTCACAATGTTTGTCCTCAATGGACTCCTAAACCACTTAACCGATTCGATCCAACTTGAAAGATAGGATAGTTTAAATCTCAAATTATAGTCGCAATTTTAATTTATTGCTAATTATTTGTGTGTTATTATTTGACAGAATACAAAGTATTCTATTATCCCCGTCTCCTTTTTGTGCGATACTTCGTAGCTTCCCCCCCTCCCTAAACATAGACGTGTGTATGTGTGTACGTGTAGGTTGAAGTTGACCGGTTGATGTTTTTGTTTGGAGAAGGAAAGTCGCTTTCTCTGTCTGTCCCTTTGTATGTTTAAATCTTTGAAATTACGCAACGGATTTTAATGCGGTTTTTTTACTTCCGAGCGAAGCCGGGGTGGGTCGCTAGTATATATATATATATATAATTTTCGTTTCACAGTGTTAATTATCGTACCGTACTCCTCCGAAACGGCTTTACAGATTTTTACCAACTTTTATATGCGTATTCAGTAGGTCTGAGAATCGACTACTTTCTATTTTTCATAGCCCTTAGTGATGAGGGTTGTTCACCATTAACTTTTTTTTTAATTTTTGGACGAATTTTTTTATTTTTACTTTTTTATAATGCGGCATTAAAAAATACATCCCTAAATTTTAACTTTTTTATCACCAACCCCAATTTTTTTATAGCCATTTAGTAATTTAAACATTTTTCATCCCGCTCGAAGGAAAATTTTAAATGCGTATGCAGTAGGTCAGAGAATCGACTACTTTCTATTTTTCATACCGCCAAGTGATAAATGTTTTTCACCCTTATTTTTTTTTATTTTGGACAAAATTTTTTGTTATTTTTTTTTATAATGTGGCATTAAAAAATACATACAACCCTAAATTTTAACTTTTTTTTATTATCAATCCCACTTTTTTATAGCCAATTTAATAATCCAAGAATTTTTCACTCCGCTCGAGGGAATGAAATGGAAGCTGGTCTCCTGTTTCACTCACACAATAAGACTTCTCTTACTCCCTACACAATTTTCAATGGTTATAGTTAGTGTATTAAGTGTTGTAGTAACGTTTACATACATTATATAACCTTAAAAGTTT